ATATGAATCAGATCTAAACACAACAAACCACTGCCAGATATATCAGCAATATTTGAATTGAAGAGATGTTTAAAATAGTAGCCCATATCGGGTTGATTTGAGAAATTACAAAAATCTTTCTCAAAATGAAATTCAATTATACTATGATTATTCATTTGTGAATATTTTCTCGTCAAATGAATTTCACGTATCTTTATTAATACTGTTAAGTTTAGAACATATAAAATCTTAATTAGTTTCATAACCATGATATAAAATTATTAGACAAAATAAAATTCAAAAGTTGTTCTGGTTTCATTAGTGAGATATCTGTGAAATAAATGCTAATGCTAATATATTTTATTATTTCCTATGATGATTTCTAATAAACAAACAAATCTTTTAAATAATAAATCAGCCGTAAAAATGAATGCAATATTTTAAATAATAAGTTTATTGCCCTTTTATTTAAAAATTATATTTTATTAGTAATTAAATTTTTATAAACTAATGATGGTAAATATTATTCTAGATATACTTATATTACAAAATGTAAGTGTTTTATTTACATATATTTAAATGTGTTACCGTAATTAGTATAAAATAGTATTACAGTATCTATATAATAGATTAAATTACATGTTTGGCTTACATCAATTGGCTATAAAAGCTTACAATTAAATTTAACATAAAACACTATTAGCAATAATCTCATAAACATATAATAATAATAACATAATTTTAAATCTTTAAACATTAAACGTTAAAGCAATTACTGTATTACGAGAATATTTAGTGATTTTTAAAAATAAAATAAAGAATAATAAATAATATGATTATGAAAGCAAATGTAACAAAATCCTTATTATCCAATGTATTTATCTTATATTTATTTTTCATTTAATAAATTTCTATATGTTTTCAAAAATTGTTGTTGATTTTTATGTGATTTGTTTCGTATATTTATATATTATATAACAAATAATTTTTATCAAAAATAAAACTTAATCATTTATTTTCTAAAACACAGTAACAAATGTTTAAGTTAGTACAGTATTAAGTATTATTATGAACATCATAATGTAAATTTAGATTTTGATTATTTATACTTTTATTATATAAGTGACTCAATTGTTATTAGTATATTAAATATAAGAATTTCTGATTGTTTTATAAATTCTTTTAACATTATTATACTTTATATTTGTGAAAATTATTTTTATTTAAACAAAGTAAAAATGAGTTACAAAGAATTTTTAACTTTATTAAGTGTTAATTATATTATACTAATTACAATTGGAGTATCTTTTGAGGTAAACTTATTTTGTTATTAAACTTATGTTCTGCATAAACAATAATACTTAGCTTATATTCAAATGATAATTGTTTAATAATGATACAATTATGATAATTTTCAGACTACTATTTCTAAAGTACCCGAACATTGTTCTGATTATACGAAAGTGACAATCGATGAAATTCGTGCTCAAAAGTTAAATAATTTATTCATATATTTTGTGATTTATGCCAATCATAGTATGTATGTCAGAGTGGATGGCATCACTTCCAATCACTTGCCTGTCGTTCACTTGAATAGTCAACCAAAGAAACTGAACAAACAAATGATTGATTCACTTGAAAACTGCACTCAATTTAACCAATATACCTTTGATGATACCACCTATAGCTTAACAGTAGAGTATTGCTTATAAATATAATATAAGAGATCCTATTATAAAATATAATATAAAAGATCCTATTATAAAATATAACAATTAATAGTATTTTTAAATATTAAAATAACTTAATTTTTAATGAAAGAACAAAAGCGGCACTTATTTAGTTGGGTTTAACTACTTATGGTTGGGTTGTCCACAATCGCTGTGTTTATCAGGAACTATAGACGCGGCCACACGTTTGACCAACGGATCNTAGTTGGGTTTAACTACTTATGGTTGGGTTGTCCACAATCGCTGTGTTTATCAGGAACTATAGACGCGGCCACACGTTTGACCAACGGATCAGTCTATGTATTTCGTGGTAACTATTACTGGGATCTCAAATATCCCCCTTTAGTTAAGTACGCAAAGAGTGTCATTGAATGGAAAGGAAATAATAAAGACTCGGATGAACAATTTGGTTATTTTACTGGTGTTGTTTCACAAACATATTTTACATACTTTTTCACGGTAGTATTTTATTTTTTAAAAATTAGTTTATATAAATATTTTTTATTACTTACCAGGCTGATAAACAATATGTATGGAACTGGGAGTCAATTGCTGAGACACACCATTTAAGTGATGTTGAATTCCTTCATAAAATCGACGCTTCATTTCATGTGACCAACAAAAGTGTCTATTATTTTAGAGGTTTGAATGCTTTTTCTTATAATTTATAAGCTATAAATAAATACTAAATTTAAAAATAAAACATATCTTAATTTAGGGAATAAGTATTTAATACATAATTGTCCATTTCATCCGTTTAATACTGAGGATTTGGATATACCATGGGATCAGATTGATGCTGCTTTTGCTGATAATAACGCGGTTTATATATTTAAGGATTCATTTTATATTTCTAGTAATATATCAGATAGCCTTTCATTTTCGGATGAACCTAGACTTGTGTTTAAGGACTTATATAACTGTCCATTAGAAATATATAATGACTTCGGAGGATATCATAATTATATTCAGACATCCATCACCTTAATGTCAACACCAAATAACAGAATTATTTTAAATGAAAGTGGCCAAGATTTTAATTCTCATGCAATCATCATATTATTAATCATAATATCTGTATTAATTTCCTGCATAATTTGTATTGTTTTAAAAACCAAAGCAAAACAAGGACTGATTAATAATTTATTGTGTACACAAACAATTACTTAATTTCATACATCATCAATACGGTAGATCAGTAAGGTTACAAGCAAACAATCTACCTTTCTTACTTATTTTCTGTTTAATTACATAAGTACTGATTAAGTGCTTTTAACTTATACTGCATATGTTTACAACTTTTCTTGATGTACTGGTACTGTAGTTATACAGTATATTAAGTTAAATATGTTAATATAAAGTTAGCGAATAATTATAAATTCATATTACTTAACTTGTAATTCGTATTGACACAAAAATATTATAAACAATTAAATGTGAGTTAATATAAATATTGTTCATTAATTGAGTGCCATTATGTGCTCATATATTAAGTTGAATACAAATCAGTGTTAACAGAGTTCAGATCAAAGCGCAATTGCATTAATAACTGTGATATTGTATTATATAAGAAGCGATTATATTAGGTAATTAAGGGAGTGCCAGGTGAGGGGAGTCCAGGTATCCGCCGTCGATCTTCAATTGAACGCCAGTTATGAACGAAGAGTCGTTTGACGCCAAGAATACAATGGCTTTCGCCACATCTTCTGTACTTCCCGGACGTCTTGGTT